ACTTTTTTGTATTTTTCACTTGGTTGCTGAAGTAATGAAGAATTGAAAATTCATATGGGAAAATCATAGTTTTCTTATTTTTTGATTTTAATATCTTAAAATCGTGTAGACTTATTGAAAAATGATAAATGAACGTGAGGTTCTAAATTTAATAGCCCTTAATTTGATATATCGTCCTGTTTATAACAATAACGCATTCCATAGATATTACAAGCCAAAGTTTCATTTTCGAAATTCATACACTTTGATTCAATTGCGCTGGCTAAAGATAAGTTTTAAATTAATCTTTCGTTGCCAACAATTGGTTGAGACCTAAGACATCATAATATTACTATTACAATGCGGTCAAATGACTTTTATTTTCCCCCATATAAAATCGACCCAGCCTAATGTTTATGCATATCTATATCGCCCAGTTTTGTGTATGAGTAGAGCAGACTTTTCAGTCATTCGATTTTCCACGAGTGTTTCTATTCCTGCCTTGTGTTAATTAGATGTTCACATTTTTTTCGGACGTACCTAAATGCCACTCGTAGTCATCAATGTGGCACGGCTGCGATCATTTCGTTGCAAACGACGCAGAGTGAGGTGGTTTACTTAATTAATTTTGCTTAAATGAGCACATTTTGAAGGTGTGTAAACAAAAAAGAAGAGAGCAAGTGATTTTAAAAATCCAAATTAGAACTAATATAAAATTATAAATGGTGAAAAAAACTATAAAAAATTAATACAAATATAAAATAAAAAATATAAGAGGAATTCCTAGAAACTTGCTATGAAATTAAGTAAATTTTAAAAATCAAATAAATCTCAACTAAATAAAAAATAAATCATAAGCGAGCACAAAGAATTTCCTACGATTGTTTCCTTTTCCATTTTACACATAAAACGAAGGCATCACGAGTACCAAAACATTGCGTGTGGAACGCTTGTCGTGCCTTTTTGGTCGTTTTTTTATGCAGATATTTTTTGCATTAAATTGGTGCGCTTTGATTTCTATTTTGGCCTCTATTCAGTTCATTTGTGAACACTGATTGAATTGCATTCGTAAAACATATAAACAAAAAAAAATTACCTACCGAAAAACAGCGAAAATAAAAGTCCAAAAGAAAACAAATCACAATTTTTTTACTGTAAAAAATACTTTATGTAGAGTGTTTAAGATCAGTGACACTTATTTGTGTTTCTTTCTTCGCATGCATTATTATTAGCAAAGGATAAATTGTTTAATTAGTGCAAACATATTTGACACAAAACATTAGCCAAACAAGAAACTTGATTATTTGCTTAATAAAACATTCTTTTTTGATAGCCAATAGCAAAGGAGCTTCGGCAAAATGGAAGTGCCCTTCTCAACGGCTACGCTGTGGAAATATGTCTTCCTGGTGTTGAATTGTTTGATCACTGTGAGTACTCGAGAAATTTATTAAACAAAATATGTAGTTTTAAGAAAGAGATTCGAATATAGAAGCTCTAAACAGAATACTTACAATCGTTTTTCACGTTTTTTAATCAATTTTGAAGCAACCAAATTAAAATCAAAACAGAATTAAGAGACTTACCAGGTAAATTTTTGGTGAATCGGGGTGTTTAGTTGAAAGGTAGTTTAATAATGCGATTCTGGCAACTGTCTTGAAAGCTCTCTACTGCCTTTCGAAAGATGTGCGAAGGCTTTCCGCCTTCGTTTAGCAATAAGTTTTTTAATTAATTTAATTTAATAATTTAATAAAAAAAATATATATATGTTTCTATTCTTAAACTAATAAAACTAATAAATAAAAGTGCTTTAAGTAAAAAAATAAAAAATAAAAAAAATAAAATAAAGCAAAAATAAATAAAACTTTTCAAATATTAGATGACATTAAAATAATTTTTTCTTTTTAAAACAATAAAATCTTAAATATAAATCGGAAAAAGAAAAAATTCTAAAAATAAAATAGTATTTAAAAATTAAAATAAAATAAAAATATATTTTTAGTTTTAAAAGAAAATCTAAAAATGAAAAAAAGTAAATTAAAAAAAGAAAAAGAAGTTAAATTAAAATAAAGACACAATAAATGAAATAAGTTTATAAAAATATAATTGAAGAAAAAAACAGACTTTTTCCTTTTTCAAATAACAAAATCTAAAAATTAAAAGAACAATAAATTAAGTTAAGGGAAATACAGTTAAAAAGAAAAATTTAATAAGTCTAAAAATTAACGAATTAAAAAAACGAATTTTTCTTTTTAAAAGAATAAAAAGTAAAAGAAAATAAAATTACGAAAAAAATTATTTTAAAAAAGAAAAAATTAAATAAGTTCCTAAAAATTAAATGAAATGAAAAAAATCCTAATTTTAGAAGAATAAAAGCTTAAAATTAAAAGAAAAAATATTTTTAGTTTTAAAGGAAAATTAATTAAAAATTAAAAAAAAGTAAATTTAAAAAGGAAAAACAAATTAAATTTAAAATGGAAACAATAAATGAAATAAGTTTCTAAAAATTTTGTTGAAGAAAAAACCTTCTGTTTCAAACAGCAAAATCTAAAAATTAAGCGAACATTAAATTAAATGAAGGGGAAATTAAGTTAAAAAGAAAAATTTAATAATTTTCTAAAAATTAAATGAATTAAGAAAATTGTTTTTCTTTTTAACAGAATAAAAACTAAAAGAAAATTAAATGAAGAAAAAAGATTATTTTAAAAAAGAAAAAATTAAATAAGTATCGAAAAATTTTACAAACCGATCGGAAATAACAACATCTTAAAAATTGAATTAAATTAAATATAGTAACAAAATATCAGACGAATGGTGCCGTTAAGAGCGTCATCCAGGTGTTCGTTCCTCAACACATCGTTCTTAACGTAACGTAAAAAGGAGAGGCAGAAGCACAAAAAGTCTTTCGTTGTAGCAGGAGGAGCACAAGTTGTCTGCAGTCCTATCTGTTCAAAGACCAAGGTAGACCTGCGGAGGTCGAAGTCAACATAAGTTCACTCACATATGGCTCTCAGTCATTGATAAGCGTAATGTTCAATACTACTTTCTGATGGTGATTTCAATGGCCGATGCCGGAAGTACTGTAACTGATTGCAAATTCAGCAGACGCACAGTGGGTCGTCTAGTAAAAGCTATCTGAACAAAAACAACATTTATTTTTTTAAGATTTTCAAATGAATAATAGGTTGAAAATCCTGAAATAGTCCCGAGAATCCCGAACGCTTGGCACGCAAACTTATGCAAATGTTTTAGTATTAGTGTGGCTGGTTCGGACTTGTAATATCTTCTGTGTAGGGAGTACTGTGTGGAGGTAACTGTCCTTGACACAATTGCTCCCGCTTCTGCCTGTAATCATCATTTGATTTGCAAGAAAGAGTTCCACTCCTTGCCTCCATGAAGGCACTATAAAGCCTTTATATTTCTTCTTTTTATGGTCTTTTGCTAGCCTGGTATATGCTTGACTCGTAGTATCAATACCACTGCAGAACTCTTTGGACGAATTACTTTTCAAAGAAATAATAAGTTTCTTGCAAATCCCTTTGCGAGCGGTGGTTATGTTCCCAATTTTCATCTTGGTAATAGTTCAGACTCTTTATTCCCGACTGCGACTGCACTGCTATTTAACAAGCAGCGAGATATAGAGCACTGTATGTACATATGTAAATAGCTTGCTATTTTAAATTTTAACTTTCTGGTCTTCCCAGCTGTAAGTAATTAAAATTTGCCGCTCATACAGTGTTCTATTTACGTACATGTATATGTATGAATGTTTGAGTTTGTATAGAACCATAAATTCTTTGCAGTAATTATTTTTAAAGATTATGTTGTGGTGCATTCCACCTGACAAAAACATCACAACAGCGAAAATGAAAAGCATAGAATTATGAAATGACTAGGCAAATATTAGACCGTTTGATATGCATAAGTTTGTTATGGCGGTCCAAAAAAAGATTAAAGTCGGAATTTTAATGCTCTCACACCATAGAATTGCTCTATTTTGAAAACGATACCCCTTTTTTACTTTGAAATCAACAAAATAATTAATAGGGCGCTCAAGGCGCTCTAAGTTTTCCATGCGTTTTATACGGAGAAAAAACTATTTTTTGTAGAAATGGTATAGAAGTTTTAAAGATAATTTTTTTACTATCTTTTCCGGATACTTCCAATGATATTACCAAATCTGTTATTTAGGCATTTTTAATATTACCTATTTTTATAGGTCCCATAAACCCATAAAAATGCAATCGGGGACCTACAAAAAATCGTCAGAATTAAAAACAGGTAAAATAAAAAATTTAGTATTGTTATTGGAAGTATTCTGATGAGACACAGAATTTTCCGGTCGAAGATATTGATTTTAAATAATTCTATACCCCATTTCCACGAAAATTTGATGTTGTATGGGACATCGACAACTTTGAACGCTTTGAGCGACTTCTAAATGTTTTTTTGATATAGGGTATATTTTTTCGATATAGAACCATCCTAGGAGGTGAGAGTATTAAAATTCGGACTTTACTATTTTACACTCGTTTGTGGACCACCGTAATGTACATACATATTTTGTAGGTATATATAAAATTTATTTGAATTACTTATTTACATGAAGAATAACAAAAAATATATATTTTTATTACAAAAGAAATGCAACTAGCCAAAAGAGCTATCCTATCTATATCCTATCTATATAGCTTATCCTACCAACTACAAAAAATATTTCAGGCCTTCGATGTTCTCCTCATCTCTTGCGGCGTCGTTTCATTGGGCGGCGCCGGATCCTTAGGCGGTGCATATACGGCAGCTTCTATCGGCTTCCTAGCAATGTTTATTGCATTCATGGGTGCTATGGCGTCGGTGCGTCAGTCGTTAATGCTGTCATGGGCGGTGAATAAGTCAGTAAAATGATTAAAAAAACACTTTTTATCTTTACAAATTTTTCATATTGCAGTACATTGTGGCCACAGTGATGTGCATAATTCTGCAAACGATCTGTTTGATTGCATTCGGCATTCTAAAGGATGATTTAACAATAATGGCGGCGAAACGTGTGCAAGGTATTTGGAATGAACGGCCAGATACGCAGGAGGTGTTGGATGAAATTCAAGAGCAGGTACATAAATGTATATGAAGTTAATGGCTTTCATAGATTTTAAAATTTATTTGATATTTAAGTGACTTATTTGTTGATTTTAGCACTACTGCTGCGGTCGCGATAGTCCTCAGGATTATTTGCCGGACAAACAACAAACTCTGCCGAATAGTTGTTGTCGCTGGGGAAATTGCTCTGAAGATAAGAATATCTATGCCAAAGGTTGTGTTGTTGCAGTGACTACTTTTTTCAATGAACAAAGTGATAATCTTGTCTTGATAATTGTGGGACTAATTGCTTTTCAGGTAAGGTGTGAAATTATGTAAGATGAAAATATACTCGCAAGAACGTATGCATGCACATATGTAATATCTAGTACAGTAGTTGCGAAATTGTAGGCATAGTATGCACATTAGGGCGAGTTATTTTTTTTTACTATGCGCGTAGAGCATATGTAAATTCAAAACTTTAAAGCCGTATTTCTCAATGTGTTTCAAGGAAAAGTAAAATATACGGTATGTGAAAATTTTCACTATTGCGCCCTCTGGCGGATGTTTTAGGGAGAAGATAAGCTGAGAAATGTATTCCTCATCCCGAAACCCCTTTCACCATGTTTTTATACATAATTAAAGCACTTCTTTACGACACTACAGCAAAATACTAAGTAAAAGAAACCTCTTTCGCAATTTGGAAAACTTCAAATTGATTTTAGACCCATGGCTTTTTCGGCAAATTTGCATAGAATTATACGTAGAATCTTCCTGTGCTATACGCGCTTAGTCGAAAAAATATTCCATACAAATTGACCCGCTCTAATGTACATATTGCTACATTAAAGTTATTCTAAATAAGTCCATGAGCAAAGCAAAAAAGGAAAAGTACATATNCGTAGTTATTCTAAATAAGTCCATGAGCAAAGCAAAAAAGGAAAAGTACATATTTGCATCTGTAAATTTTCTTGCACTCATCATGCTTTTTAACAAAAAGCAGATGCTAAGAGTTTTAATGTTTAAATAGGTAGAAACTGTTAAAACCTTCGATTTCTAAAGTTAAATGCTGGCGAAAACTGCAGCAAAAAAAAAATCCACTATGAAAATTATTAAAGTTTTTTGTACCTATGCATCATATCTTCGGCATTTACTATCGGATCTTAAAGCATGATTTATCGCTGTTTTTGTATCGAGGAGCAAATTTTTTTGTTCAGGAGTTCATTGACCTTAAGTAAGCCGTGCTTACCCACCAAATCTCCGCTTATACCACTCTAATGCCAGTAAATTAAAGTTTACCAAATTCATAAATTTGCAAAGTTTTTGAAAATTCCAGTAGAACTATTTAAAAAAAATGTTTTGCTGAATGTAGGTGCTATCGAAAAGTTCAAAAAGCGGACCCCAGGTTCGAAAAAAATGTATTTTTTTTATCGAAATCGCCTAACAAAAATGCGACACAGGTGTGTACGGCGACTTTTATTTTATGCGTATAAGTTGATACGGCCCAATGGGCATTCTTTGTTTCCTTAATTTAAAATAGCTACAGCTAGTTATCTGAATAAGATTAGAGTTCTGGCTTAAGTACATGTTTACATTCAGCGGCATTCATTAAAATTTCTATCTGTTTTTTATATTTCCAGGTCTTAGGAGTAATCTCAGCCTATTATTTCACACGCAGCATGGAAAATCTCAAACAGAAGCGTGAAAAAATCATCATTAATGAATAATTTGATACTTTATGTGTGAGCTTTTGGCCAGTATAATGTAATAAATAATTTAAAATTAAAGATACAGCATACATATGTATGATTTTAGATGTTAATTCATAAATTAAATTGGAAGTTTAATGGGTTGAAGTGGCTGCTATTAACCCTTCAGCCTGTAGGCCTGTAATTATGAGCCCGTTGTGACATCAAACCCTCGTGTGGCGTTTTTTATGTCGTTGAAACCCTAAAAAAATTCTGTACCATGAACTTTCTTCTTCTACTACAGAGCGCAGAGCATCTGCATAACAGGTGTCGCAAAGTTTCTGAGCCTAACGCCTGACTGACTGTCTGAGTAAATGTAGATGTTATTACATAAGACTTCTCCTGTACTTAAATATTCGGCCGCCTCCTCTATTGAAGCAACCTCAGTTTGAAAGACGCTATAGTGGTCGGGTAGTGCTTAGGAAATTCCACCTCCCTTAAGTTAAGTAGGCCGCACATCACCTACAAAGGAGTTGTGCGTAGGGCCCCCAAAAAAGCGCACACTTAGATCTAANACGTCGTTGAAAGCCTAAAAAAATTCTGTACCATGAACTTTCTTCTTCTACTACAGAGCGCAGATCATCTGCATAACAGGTGCCGCAAAGTTTCTGAGCCTAACGCCTGACTGACTGTCTGAGTAATTGTAGATGTTATTACATAAGATTTCTCCTGTACTTAAATATTCGGCCGCCTCCTCTATTGAAGCAACCTCAGTTTGAAAGACGCTATAGTGGTCGGGTAGTGCTTAGGAAATTCCACCTCCCTTAAGTTAAGTAGGCCGCACATCACCTACAAAGGAGTTGTGCGTAGGGCCCCCAAAAAAGCGCACACTTAGATCTAATGGTACGACCGACCAGCTAAAAGAGGCTTGCTGATGAGCTGCGAGTATTCCTTTTTCTGCAGAGTNAAGTGGTCGGGTAGAGCTTAGGAGATTCCACCTCCCTTAAGTTATGTAGGACGCACATCACCTACAAAGGAGTTGTGCGTAGGGCCCCCAAAAAAGCGCACACCTAGATCTAATGGTACGACCGACCAGCTAAAAGAGGCTTGCTGATGAGCTGGGAGTATTCCTTTTTCTGCAGAGTATTGATTAGACTCAAAGCATATCGACTGCTGAGTGGAAAATCAACCTATCTCGGTAGCCAGTTCGATAATGCCCTATCTGAAAAAACCTTTCGAGAACGCCCTTAATTTCAAAATTGATATTATTATTATTTTATTATTAATATTTTCAGCTTATCTCACAATTTGGTTGATTACTTCAAAATATATTGAAAATGTGCTGAGATAGGGCGTTTCTAAATCGGCAGCTGAGATAGGGCGGTTTTGAATCGAATTCTGTAATAGGCCGTTCTTGAAAATTTTTGAAGTGAAACTTCTTTAGCGGCGGTTGGTTGGTTGGGAGTAAATTGGCAAATACAACGGAAATTGCACTCGGAAATGGTGCAACGGAAATGGTCGGGGCTGAAACAAGTGCTTCTTGTGTGAATATGGTATTAATTTAACAAAAGCTTGCTNAGCAGCTGAGATAGGGCGGTTTTGAATCGAATTCTGTAATAGGCCGTTCTTGAAAATTTTTGAAGAGAAACTTCTTTAGCGGCGGTTGGTTGGTTGGGAGTAAATTGGCAAATACAACGGAAATTGCACTCGGAAATGGTGCAACGGAAATGGTCGGGGCTGAAACAAGTGCTTCTTGTGTGAATATGGTATTAATTTAACAAAAGCTTGCTAATAAAAGGTTAAAGAATAACACTTAGAAAAAGACCAATACAAGAATGAAAGTAAAGGTGAGTACGTACATCGATAAAGAAAATGATAAGGGCAAAGGTAAAAATAAAAGTAAAAACAAAAATGCGTAAAGATAAAGGCAAAAATGAAGACCAAGGTAAATTTAAACATTTTACTTATATAAGGGCAAAATTGAAGGGCATATGGAGATGAAGAAAATGATAAACATAAAAGTAAAAACAAAGATAAATATAAGGAAAAAGATGAGGATGAGGATATCGAAAAAATAAAGATGAAAATAGAGGAAGAAACATTAAAATAAAGGTAAGTATAGAGAAAAGGGTATAGACAGAGACTCAATCTCGGTTTTATTATCAGTTTTGTTATCTATTATTTATCGAGTTTGTTAAAGATTTTGTTATCGATGCTGTTATCGACTTTAATATCGACAATTTTATCGATTTTGTAATCGATATTTTTAACGATTTTGTCATCGATATTTTTTATCGATATTGTTATTGGGTTTTTATCGATATTTTTATCGAATTTGATATCGCTATTTTTAACGATCTTGTTATTGATACTTTTTGATATTTTTATCGATTTTCTAATCAATTTTTGTTATCGATTTTGTTATCAGTTATTTATCGATTTTGTTATCGATATTTTTATGGGATTTGTTATCGATATTTTGTTGGATTTTACTATCGGTTTTCTTATCGATAGAATATAAAGATAAAAATGAAGATAAAGAAAAACAGAATAACATAAATGTAATNTTATCGATATTTTGTTGGATTTTACTATCGGTTTTCTTATCGATAGAATATAAAGATAAAAAAGAAGATAAAGAAAAACAGAATAACATAAATGTAATTAGAAAGAACTGGGAAAAGTAGAAAGGTAGGGATCTAGATAGAAAAAGACAAAAAATATAACCTTAAGCAAAAGCAGATGTATGTATGTATGTATATATGTACATATATTGGTTATGAGACAAAATAGATATGTAAACGTAAGTTTCACTTCTCCCAGTGTGGCAAAGGCGCACTTACTTTTTTTTGAGATACGGCGTTTTTCAGCAGTTTTATCAGTCGATATGCTCTTACATTAATCAGTTATGCGCTTTCCATCAGCCGTTCAATTTAAAAATTTGAATTTGAAAAGTACGCTCAACCACCTAAACTCTTCTCGGTGCTTTTCGTATAAATGGAAGCTTTGGTCTCACTTGAGGCGCGCCGCCCACTACCAACTGACTGGCAACACATTCATACATATTTACATACATAGTAAGCATGTTGCTAAACATTGCTGCACGCAACCTAAACAAACGTCAATACAAAATCAACACCGTTTCCAAAGTTGCTAAATCAACGATCGATTACGAGAATTCACAGCGGGAGTGATCAAGCGTGGCGCGGTACAGCAGAGAGCGATACACATGAGCAGGCAAGCACACATGAACACACACACAAATACACAGCAAGTCGCAACAACGATTTCAGGTTTCAGGTTTAAGAAATGTTCGATTTTTTTGTCATTTCGAAAATTGTTAGCAAACCAGACGGTTGGGCGTTGTTTGTTGTGCGGCAACTGGTTTACGTGTAAATTGGAAATTTAAATATTTATAAGTCGTTTGGTCGTGTTTTAGTGAAGTGAGTGATATCGAAAATTTCTACCGTTTACTTTAGTGTTGTATGTATTGTGTAAATATTTTAATTTTCTACTTTCTTTCGTATGTATTAATATATGTACGTGATTGGCATACAAATCGAAAAACTATTGTCAATGAGTAGCATGTTGTGCAACAGACTAATATTTTGTTATAACTGCCATGTATAGCAAATAACTGCATTTAATTCGATGTGTAATTGCACGTAATAGTAATTTTGATTTTATTTTTCGTTTTATTTTTTAACTTCGCGTGTAGTTGAGCAATAAGAAGGCGGAGTTTTCACAATGGGCTGCACATCCGGTGTAATGAAATTCATTCTGAATATTCTGAATGTTCTACTGGCGGTAAGTTTTAAAAACACATACTACGGCTAGCTATTAAAGCAACAAAGATACATACGTACATAATTAAATGAAACAAATTTAGTAAAAATCTAAGCATAAGCAATTTTTGCCATAAATAGCCAACTATTTAGTCACATGAAAAGTCGTTTGCATGCTGTTGTTGTTACTGTTGTTATCGAAATTATTGCTTACACAAGTAAATGGCAAAAAAAATTAGTAAATTAAGTCAAGTCACTTTTTCTGCCTTTTGGCAAAGTTCACAAAAACCAAACGAAAATGCATAAATTGTTAGAAAGGAAAAGCCCCAGAAAAAAAACAAATGTAAATCTCTAAAAAATGGTAAAGAGAAAATAAAAAAAGCATTAAAAAATAAAGAAACGAGTCAAAAAAATCAAGCAACGAAAAAAAATCATTGCAAAAAAGTACAAAATTTCAAACTGAAAACAAAAAAACGTTTTAGTACCCAATAAAAAATGAATTAGTCGCAGCAGTGCGACGTGTTCATACATACATATGTATGCATGTATTATGGCGGCACATTAGGATGCCTCACCACAAAAAAAAAAAAAATGCGGGATTTTCACCGGAATCATAAAGTGCATTATATTGTTTTTGTTATTTTTTGCAGAATAATAATTATATCCAACAATTTTATTGAGCTTGCAGCCATTTTTCAAATGAAAAATGTGCAAAAACAACAAAAATATACAAAGGTAGAAGTTTTAGCTTCAAACTCAATAAAATTGCCGAACAAAATTTCTTATATTTTAAGACTTCCCGCAAAATATTTCGGAAAAATATAAAGGATTACGTGATCTGGGCCACTTTGAAAATATGTACCTCTAAAAATCTCAATATTTTGATTGTGTTGATACAATCTTATACATTTTTATGCAGAAAAAAGCTCAAACTTACTTTTTTATCATCCGAGGTGATTCTTCGGAAAAAAAAATTTTAAATACTGACGTCCATTACCCAAAAGTTTTAAATCATCTAATTTTCTGCTAAGTGGTTTTTGCAATCATCTATTTTGAGTCAATTAGAATTAGTAATTACTGATTTATCGTAGTTTTCGTGTTACTGTAAATTTCCGTTACATGGTAGCTGAGCGTGGTTATTGCCCGATTCGTTTTGGCTTTTACAAACAACCATTATGTGCACAAAGTTGTAAAACTCTTGTGCACTAGTGCGCTCGGGTATAAAAACTCATTTTTTGTAGGTATTTTCAATTCGCTCCAGATCACGTAAATCTTAATATTTTTCCGAAATAATTTGGCGGATAACTTTAAATATACATATATAACAGTATAGATTTTTTTTTTGTTTATAGACTGATACCCCCTAGTGTACATATATCCAGCCACTGGCTCTCTGTGAAAAATAAGAATAATTTTTTTGAAATGATATCACCGGTCGGCCGCTAAAATGTTAATTTGGATTCACAAGCAGCAATATGTATGTTTTTGTGTTTCTTCACATCAAATGGCCGTGTATGCCTATATAGGAATGCTTGCGATCGCAAAAAATCGGGGGGAAAAAACAAATGCAAAAGTATATCGGCAAACGCAAACACGTATGTACATATGTATGCTTATTTAAATGTGAACACGTATCACATGCCGCTTAGGTCTGAAATTGTGATAATAAGCCAAACTTCAATTCTCTTCTAATGCATGTACATATGTACATATGTATATGTATATGTATGTATGGATCTACGCACTTCGAATTGGCAACAATAAAAAAGCTTTTCAGAAAAATTTAATGTGAAATGAACTTAAACCGCTCAAAACATATACACAAAATGGAAATAATTGTAGCAAATTACATTACTTTAGATTCTCTCATGTTTTAATTCCTTATCAACATCATCACCATAAGAATCCGCTAAAAATTTGTAAATAATTATTTTGAGTAATAAATCTAGATTATTTTTTAAGGCAGATATAAGGACAAACTTTACCTAGCAATTTTTGGATCAAAACATTAGCGATAATTGAAAATTTTTTAGGATTTCTTCAGTGTTCCTCGGAACTTTTACGGGTTTTTGGGCACTTTTTAGAATATTTCGGAATAATTCGTATATTAGAGCGATACAATAGGCGATGCGATACGATGCGCAAGCGACATCGACATTTTGAGTACGTGGGAATTGGTAGGAAGCGATTAAAACTGTGAACACTTGCATGACACCGACACTGCTGCGACGTAATATCGCTTGCTTATCGGCCGGGCGGCACGGTTTTCTATCACATCGCATATGGTATCGCATGTCGATGTCGATTTCATATCGTATCGCGTATCGTATCGCTCTAATATGCACCGTACCTTAGAGCTTCACTGTGGTTTATTTCAACATCTACTATCTATATCTTTTTTGCGATGTTGCTTAGACCATCGCTTGAACCCAGGCACTGCGGAGTGGTAGCGCGCACTGCTAACCACTACACCACAGCGGTCACGTTGTCGGTTAAATTATCGAAAAAATTACGTGGAACTATACCTATTTTAACATTTGGAGTATTCCAAAAACGTCGTATAGTCTTAAAGTCTTAAAAATTTTCTATGTAGAATTGCTAATAAAATGCAATGCATCATGATTTTACGTTTTTTTTACGGGAATTCTAAAAAATTCCGAATTTTGACTATATTACTTTGCGCGATTTTTTTTACTTTCCCGATCTTTCGAAATTTTTTCGGATTATCAGGACTTTCTCTGTAATTTTCAGAAGCTTTTGTGATTTTTCGGGACTTTTCACGATACTTCTTGTTTTACTTATTTCTCGGAATCTTGGTTTTTGGAACTTTCCAGCATTTTTATGGGAGTTTATGTTTTATTATTCATGATATTTTTTCCGGCATTTTTTTTTTGGGGATCTTCGGTATTTATCGATAGCTTTAAGAATTTTTCCGAATCAAAATTTCTTGGCGTTTTTTCTTATAAAATTCATGGTTGGTAAGCTCTATTAAGTACACATCTATGGTCCTCTGCAATAACGACTCAACGGAAAATTAAAATAATTCTTACTGCTTTTAAGTGGCTCATGTCTCTAAACCTTATGTCTAATCCTTATTAAAGTAAGTAGGAGATATGAAGAACTTGACAGTAGTAAAAGTTTTTTGTTTCTGGGTTTTGCGCTGTGTCATTTGTGCCATCGATATTTATAATTTATGTTTTGAATTTAAAATTCCACAAGGTTGGCCTCCAATAATTTAATTTAATTCTTGCTAAGTTTCATCAATAGCATGAAACTCGTGTTGTAGATGCATATTTGTGGAACAGATTTAGGGCCGCTTGTTCAATGTCTGGTTCGACTTCATGCCTATAACATATTAGCGATAAAGCATACGTTGTATTTAACCGGCCCATCTACCTCCGATTTGTGTTAACCAGACATTGAACAAACTTTCCTTAGAGAGTTAAACCAGTCTCTTTTCAACTAGTTCTCTATAACGAACTTATTTTTGCCCGTGACCCACAAGAATTTCGTTCATATTTGCAATTAAAAAAAAATACTTAAAATGCGTTGTTAATAATTAACCGCACAGAGCTGTATATGTAGGTATGCCAATTGGTAATTAGCTACTTGTTTTAAAACTCGAAATATTTGTGCCACTTAGCCGTCTCACACCGCGCACAAACACAGGTCCACCACAATTCAACGCCAAATCGTGTTTATGGAAAAACCGCTTTTGTGTTTAAATAATTGCATTTTTGTTTTTTTTTTTGTGTTGCTTTCCATTTATTTTTGCGTTTATATTTCTTTGTATACTTTTCGCAATATTCTTAAACGAAAATTCAATTGCGACGCACACCAAATGCATGACAATGAATTAAATTGTATAAGCAATGCACGATTATAATATAAGTATACATACTAATATATTTTCATACATAGTTTTATAATTTATTCCTTAAACTCTTTAAATTTCTCCCGCATTTTTGCAGGTCTTCGGACTCGCCTTGATCGCGCTGGCTGTACTGTCCTTCAACACAGCACCCAAGGTTTACATCTATTACCTATTTATTGTGGGTGCTGTTAATTTCGTTGCAGCCATGTTGGGTTGTTGCGGCATTTGTCAGGAGGATGTTTGTCTAACGACTACGGTGCGTATGAGTAACCTAAACGCAAAATGCATGAATACTATAAACTTATATTCGTATATAGTATACTCGTACATATAAGTATGTATACATAAACAAAAACTACACATACGCATACATACATACATATATAAACATTTTCAAAGTTTTATTGCTCATGTGCACACACGCCTACTNGCGTATAAATATATAAACATTTTCAAAGTTTTATTGCTCATGTGCACACACGCCTACTATCACTCAATTGCTTACACATCGCTATTCGCTATTCGCTATTCAAGTCTGATTAATTGTTTTGTTGGCATCTTTATTGTTACTTAAAATATTTATTGCTTTGTAAATTTGTAATTCAGTGAAATTCACATTTTTTCTCTCTTTAGTATGCTATCATCATAGCGCTTTCATTGGTTTCACAAATTGTTGGCAAAATCTATGCTTCCGATTCGGCTGCTATCAAAGAGTTTGCTGCGAAGGATGTGGAAAAAACATGGCTGGAAGAAATTAAATTACCTGGCGCCATGAATAACACTCAACAGACGGTAAGTTTCTATGATTTTTGAATGGCGTATTCAAGTTATTAATTTAATTCGTTGAAAATAAGCAATTTAAACTTCAAAATCTGGCTGTATGAGAGCTGTATATGTATGTAAATAACGCTTAGCTCTCCTATAAACTTACATAAATATTAATTGTACTTAATTCGGTTTATTTGGAGTTTGTTTTCCAATATATAAATGTTAGCTCGTTGATGATAGAAGCAAATTATTTTCTGTATGTGTACTAGGGCGCCCCTTAAAAATATGATCATCTAAATTTTGAAGTTGCCACCAATTACCTATGTTCCACTTACAAAATAAAGGCATAAACGAAAATTTCAAAATTTTATACAAATTTGTAGGCAGAGTTTAAACAATTCTTTCATTGCAAAAATTCGACAAAACTTTTACACGAAGCCACACGAAGGGAATTTTTTTCTTGTTTTTGAACTTAGAAAACCAATTCTTGTTATCAAGAAAATCTAAGAAAATATAATTTGAAAATAAACAAGAATATATGGTCTTGATATACACTAAAATAAATAGATAAATAAATTTTTGTCGAAATCATTAACACTTTTTCTTTAAAATTAATTTAATTAATAATAATTATTTAATAAATTATTTCATCCTCCGTGAAAGGAATAAGTATAACATTTTGCTCGCGGCGCTCAAACAATCGCAATGGTCGACAGAGAAAAGCTCTGGAGTGCCAGTCGAGAGATTCGAGTCCTAGAGCAGGGAATTATTTAAAATATTTTTTATTTATTTTTTATTGTAATTTTTTTAATTGTATTTTAAAAAGAAAAAAAATATCCCATTTATTTTAAGTGGTATTTGAGTATTTAGATTTTTACATATGAAGTTAATTTTACTTACCTTAATGGCAATGAAGTAATTAAGATTTTAGCAGTTTTAAGTATTTGCACTTAAATTTATTTTTTCCTACATGAAAAGAAGGGAACGAAAAAGTCCAGACAAATCGAGGTTTGCGTACCAGTTCCGACAAAATTTTAATGGCATTTGTATCACTGTGTACAGATTTGTAAATTTTGGCAGTCATAGAGTAGTGTGATCTATCTATCTATATTCGTTTTTCGAAAAAAACTGAAATATTGCCTAATTTGAAATAAAATTTGCTTTAAATCTGTTAAAAGAATTAAATTAGAGTGCCTCACCAAAAAAGCAGATTTTCACCGGAATTCAAAAAAAAATGTTATCAGCCCAATTCTGAATACTCCAGGGGAGTTGGTTCTCCGGGAAGTTGTTTTTCCCAAGAAAGAAAACTTCCAATAATTAATTTCCAGGGAGTAACATTTTCCCCAAATTTTGGGAGGAGGAAAGTCGAGCTTCAAAAGAGCTGTTTGACACATTTTTGACAGGTCAACTCCGCCGAAAGGGAAAACAGAAAAAATTCTCAGGGAGTTTCTGTTCAGAGTCTGCCTGTATATGTATTTGAAAACTTTCGCAATATATTTCGAAAAAATATTCAGATTTACGTAAGTTTGCCAGTTTTGAAAGAAAAACTCCAGAAATCTAAATTTTGAGACATTTTTATGCAGACCTTTAAGCTTAAAATTTTCTTTTATCTAAAGTGACTTTTTTGAATTAAATATTTCAAATATAAAAACGATGTATTCATAAAAACTTGGTTTTGGAGATATGCAGTCTTAAAATTTTTTCGAAATATTTTGGCTAAAGTTGTATGGTCTTATTCATAAAAACTAAAGTAGCTTTATAATAGAATTATAAATTGGAAAATCTATGAAAAAGTCGATTTATGAAGCTCTTTAAACCTACTTTATTTTTTATGAATAAGGCCATTAAAATATAATAAATTTTGAAATTCCAATAAAAAGCAGCACCAATTTTTTTNAAATTGGTTTGTGGTCGGTTAAACAATTTTTTTTTATGTTAAAATTTATGTCTCGTCAAGCGATGTACAGTTGTTTACTTGGATGCAGAAAGATGATTGCTACTAACCTTTTAAATCTTAACCTTAATCTTTATCTTTATTTTAATTTTAATATCAGCTTTAATCCGAATCTTAATGTTAATGTTAATGTTAATCTTAATATTTTTCTTATTCCTAATCTTAATCTTTATCAATTTTAATCTGCATCCTCGTATTTATTTTCTTCTTCATTATCGTCTTCCTCTACATCGTCATCTTCTCCTTAATTAAAATCTTAATCTTTGTCTGCATTTGCATATTTGTTTTTGTCGTTGCCTATGTCCTTGCCTTTGCCTTTGTCTCTCCGTACCCTCAGTGGCGGTCATACAGCCGCTCATTTTCTGTCCACGCATTCACCTTCACTGTGATACTAAATAGTCAGTTCAGGTTACTGTCGAAACTCGAGGTTTTCCAACTTAGCGCGTCGTTTTACTTAGAACGTATAGAATTATTTGCCGGAAAATATCTTGCTTTGGAACTAAAACGTGACTACAATTTTTTATACCTTTGAAAGTCTTTGGATGACTTTGGCAGGACTTGGATAATTCGATACATATCGATAACTCAATGAATTTTAAGACCACTTAAGTCCGATAACTCAACTTATTTCGATTATTTTCGATAAATTTCGATAGCTGTGGTTTCGGCGGTAACTCAAAAATTTACATATTCCGATATAAATCGATAACTCGATAAACTTTGATCACCTCTATAAATTACGAGACTTGGTTTTGATAGCAACATATTTTCCGAAAGCTATCAACAAATTTCTATACCTCGTTACACTCTTGTCTGAACCGTACTGTATATGTGACAAAATACGTTAATTATTGCATAATTTTCTCAATCTTTCAAATGATTTCCTAAGCCAAAAATTTAGGTATGCACTTTCTAGATTTAGCAAAATAACTTCGAAAGTATTTAAGTAAGTATTTTCGTTGTGAGATGGCGTCTGACTCAAGGTAGTCCACTCTTTTCAAGCGAAATACGTAAGCTATAAGAAAATATGTATAAACAAAGAATTTCCTATCACCATCTACTAAAATCCAATTCGATACGTCATCATTCATAATAGATTGTGCAATAAGCATCAATAGTGTGTCGTTAGTTATTTTTAAAATCTGGCCGTCACTGATTCGTCATTGTTTGTGAACTACAAATTACAGCTATAAATGTGTATTTCACGTATTCGTGGTTCATACTTACATACATTCAGTTGCATTAAGAAGTGCTAATACACTTTAATTGCATGTTTTTGTTGCAAAGTAAATACTATTTCCTTTTTTAAACTTATTGATAATTTCACTTCACAGGTCTTTTATATGTATGTAAATACATATACATATATGTATAATAACAATAGCGATGCAAACACGAAGTCACTACATGATTATTTCTGAAGTAAAAGCGCAGATTTTGTTGTCGAGCATACTGTCTATGGAATAAGCGATTTTCTAGCGTATTGATACTTTCAATTTATCCTACTAGAATTTAATGGGCTGTAAAAGTGCACACATAAAATTTTTCTTAAATTTCTGAATAACAAGTTTGAAATTGTTGGGTGATTTTGGTAAGATTTGTTGAAGTTTTATAATTTTTGTACAAAGTTTGAAATGTGGATTTATGTATATGGTGCTTGTTATATAATGCGCTAGGGTTTTATAAAAAAAAAAATATTAAAAATCGAATAAATAACAACCATTGTACATATAAACATACAGATGCGATCAACTAATAAGCAATGAAATTCAAAATGATATTGTTTGCAAATTATGTGTAATAATTTTAATAATTTTCATTTCAAATATTATTCAATCTATTTATAACAGAAAACACAATAATAAAAATTTAAGAGCTTGCACAAATTGCAAAAAAAATTTAATTTAATTTAAAAAATTGTCATCAATATTTAAAAATTTCTAAGTAGAATATTTAGAAAATTTTTTGGTATGCGTTTCTGAAGCCCATTCAATTGTAGTCTAAGAAAGAGCAAGTTTGAAAAATAAATAAATACACATAATTTGCAAACTATATCATTTTGAATTTCGTAGCTTATTAGTTGATCGCATCGGTACATACTATATGTTTCTTTTATAGCTGTAAATATCACCTTTAAAACGAGATCAGAACAGTTTTAGATATTGAAAAAATATGTAAAGTATATGATATTGAAAAAATGTACTTGGCAAAATATTTTGTTGTATGTTCAAAAGAAGCGTCTGACCATAATTCATCTAAATCAAAAGTAGTCGATTTGACATGCAATTTAGTTTTTCTCTTTGACGTTAGAACTTTTTAAAATGACTTTGAGACTTCAATGAAAAAAATCTAAATCTAAAACCTTTTTTAAATGCAGTGCAATCTTGAATAGGATATGTGTATCATACAAAAAAAATCTACAGAATCGAGCACAATTATTATTATTTTTTTTTTTGTACACAAGGACGAAATAGTCCTTTTATCCGATTTTATTCGTTGCAACATTATGCATCTACAAGCACCCACCTGTCGCTTATAAATGATTCGACGCAGCAAAGAAGACAACATTTATTATTAAAAATTATTTTATTCAACTTTTAATTGACTAAAAAATCTTCGCTAAATATAAATAAAATAAGTAAGAGTATAATTTAATTTTCGTGAAGAAAACTGAAGCTTCATGCTTTTTAAAATCAACGACAATACCCGTCGAAATATGTAAGCTTTTTTGCCAGCCAGTGGGGAGTTCTCGCTTATTTGTACATAGATAGGATGAAAGCTTTCGCTTGTGAGTGTGGTAACTTTGGCGATAAAGACCAGTGTTGCCATTTTGGTACTTTTGGAGCTAGATATAGCTCTTTATTTTTTTTATTTAGCTCCAAAAATTAGGCTTTAGCTCCTAGCTATTTTAAAAATTATCGGGCACTTTTTTAGTTCCAGAAAAATGTAGTTGTATTTGTAAATATATTAAAATTACAAATCTGTAATTTCATTGCACAAGTGTTGACTAAAATTATTTGGCTTTCCTATTTTCGATATCTTCATTTTATTCTCGTTAGCGTGGAAGCACACAAATAATACGGGACAGTAGTTCGAGCTCCGATAACCTCAAATGGTTTATTTTCTCTCAGGCGGCCACGATAGAAAAGGAAAGCCAAAACTTAAGCGTTGATAAAATTACATTTGAAATGCAGTGGAAAAACAAACATTTTTATACACGGGAAAATAATTAAGATTAAAGAACTCAAAAATTAATTAGAAGAAAATCTTTTCCGATCGCACGAATTTTGTTTTTACCTTACTTACATAAAGAAGGAAATAAAACTTTTCAAGAAAATTTTGTTAAAAAAATTTCTCGTAACACAGTCATTTCAAGTATCTGAAAAAATACTTTCCTGTAAAATCTGATTTTTGTAACATACGATAAATTCGCGCAAAGGGGTCGATATAATTCTTTACCTAGGGTATCCCTCCCTTGAAAAAACTTCTCATAAAACAATTTTCCGTTTTGGAGGCATCGTAAACCCGCCCCCTTTGTGTGACAACATCAGTACGCATACCACAAATTGGAGGAGAAACTCGACCAAACACTTTGCAAAAGTGTAAGCGCCATTTAATAAAGGTTAAACAGCATTTCACTAAATATGATCCGNGCCAAACACTTTGCAAAAGTGTAAGCGCCATTTAATAAAGGTTAAACAGCATTTCACTGAATATGATCCGCAGCTAAATTTCAACATTTTGATCTCTAAAAGAATAGCAGGCGCACCTAACAACATGCAACATCTAGTAGGAAGTCGGAATATGCATCGTAATTTTGGAAACTGGAAGGAAGACATGACCATTTCAAACAAAATACATACATATGTACATATATATACATACATATTTTATATGGAAAATTAACAAGACGGTAAAACGGCTAGTAGCTCGGCCAAACACTAACATATGTGCAAGCACCAATTAAAAAAAAAAACGGCTAGATAACTTTTTTGAACGTTTTATTGAGCAAAGAGTGGGAAAAAGTACTTCATTTAATTGATGTGTCAAACGATTTCCACCGAAATGTCAAACTAACAAAACAAATTTTCCTTTTCTAACGAATCGCTTTTTATAAGGGAAATTAAGATTTTTGGGAGCGTCTCAAACGCGAAGAGCAAAACATTACAACCGAGAGCACTTGCAGCAGCATTTACCACTAATGCGCATGTCTGACTTTTATAAAGATATTCAGGAAATTGCCACACAATATGCATACCGGAGCATAGAGGAGCATTTATTAAATAAAATTTAGGGCAAAAAAGAATGCAAAGCTATGCCGACAGCATAGCCAGAAAAAGTTCAGTATTAGATACGAATTTATCAAAATGACACTGTGGTACAATAAGTCGCACAAACATTTTTATTTTCTTGTTTTATTATATGCCACATATATAGTGCTTTTAATAACTATATCACACCCACAAATTGACAGGTTTTGACAATTACTTTTTTTTATTAAATTTAACATATTTTCTTTTACAAAAATATAGTTAATTCTATAACAAAAACCACATACACCCAAGTTTCAAACTGTGTACAAAAATTAAAAAAATCAGCAAGGTTTTATCAAATTTTCACACATTTAATTTGTGTATAATTTTTTGGAAATTTTTGGGTACGCAGTATTATTGCCCATTTAATTTTAGTAAAACAAAATGCAAGTTTGAAGTGACAACTAAATATCCTTGGTTTTTGGCATTTTTTTTTTTTTACAATGTGTGAAAAGTTTGCAATTTTAATGAAGCTTTGCTGATTTCCTTTATTTTTTGTACAAAGTTTGAAACTTAGATTTATAAGGTTTTTGTTATAGAATGAACTATATTGTAATAAATAATAATATGGATGTCATATAGTTAGGATAAGCACTCTGTTTATTTTGCAGTTGTAATATAATTTTGTTGAGATGAGAAAATGAATGCAAGCTTCCTAAAAGAGTGGAGGTAAACAAGAGAGAAAGCTGGCTAATGTGTCAAACCAAAGACGCATATATGTATGTATGTATAGTACATATGTATGTAATAGCATAATGCACACCAGTTATTTTCAAAATTTTATTCAAATAAAAGCCATATAAAACTAAATAATTATTATAGTAAAATATTTTAAAACAAAAATTTGATTGTAAACAACGAAAAAAATTATAATTTCAAGAAAGGAAAATCAGGTAACGAAACACTTAGAAATGTACATCGATATGTGAAGGATCGTCGATGATATGGGCCTGCTCCTCTGGATGATGCACTGACTGACCTGGCAAGCGCTCATATTGAGCTGCGGCGAAAGAGAAAATTTTACAATTATTTTCAAACTTATTATATCCTGCAGAGGACTGCAGTACGCGCATGCTTACCTATTATTTGATCTCTAATAGCATTCAGATCCTGGGCATGCGCGAGGCATAAGAAGCAGGCGGCGAGCACGAGGAGAATCTGAAGTAGTTCCATAGAAAAAATATTAAAAAATAAATGAATGAAAATATTTTTTTTTTAAAAACTAAATTCGGTAATTTCTCTAATAGTCCAGGGATTAAAAATGTCTTTATTCCCCGTACTATGCATAAGCTGAAAAACTACATACGTATGTATGTATTTGCTACATCAAAGCTTCTTCTTAAAAAAAATTCCGTAAGCTCCTCTTTTTTGTGTAACACTTCCTCATAGCCGAATCTGTAGGAAACTTACCAAGAATTTCTGCATTTTTGCTGCTTTAGTATTTGTACTTTTGCTTTGAATTTTGAATTGGTACTAATGAAGACATGCTTTTTATGCTGGACTTTTATACACTCTGGTTCACAGAGTGAGTACAAACAAAAAAAAAAACAAGTTTATTTTAAATTTTAGAATAGTTCTTTTATGCTCTGCTTTCGCTCTGTTTTGGGTTTGAGAATTCGTCTTTTTATGTTTCACTCTTTAATGAAATACCAACTAAATAGCCCACTGCGCTGCACTGCACTGCGAGAAAACGCTGAATAAATTTGCTCAGTTGAGAAAAACATGGAAATCTGAAGTTACTTCTACTTTTCGATAAATTCTCCTTTCATAATAATAATAAAAGATTGGCGCTTACACATGCGTTAGTATTTGGCCGAGCTTCTCCTCCGATTTTTAGTATGCGCCTTGATGTTGTCACACAAAGGGAACATAATATTCGGAGGGACATAATATTCGGTTGGTTGTTCGAAAACGTGATGAAGTTGGCAAACCTTTCTATGGAAAATATTCCTGCTACATACAATATGGTAATTTCCCTTCCATGTTCTCCGAGTACCTTAGCCAGGGTACATACAATTCCGGGGACAAATTTCCTTAAATTCGGTCGGAATTTGAAAAAAATAAATATGAGGGTGTGCAGCTTTTCCCGATTCCCCAGAGCGCGGAGACTTCTATTTAAAAAATTATTAACTTTGAAAGTTGTACAATTCACCATACAAATTTCATTGGTTATTTGGAAGTGCTGCCAGATGATGAGAATAGTGAAAAAGTCGCGGGTTTTTTTTATCGAAAATTTTCTCTTTATATTGAAATACTGTTTTATATATTTATCAAATTATCGATTTTTATAAAAAATTAAAAATTTTCATTATTATTTATAAGTATTGAACTTTATGAAAAAAGCGCCGCAGGCGAAAATGTTTAATAAAAAAT